TCCTTTGTCCCCTGTGCCGCCGGCACTGCATTGATACGATGAACATTGCTTGTTGTAATCTGTATTAGGAATTGGAGCTTCACATAAGCCGTGCATGATTACAGTGATTACATCATTACAGTGATTACAGCATTACAGTGATTACAGTATTAAAGTGATTACAGCATTACAGTGATTACAGCATTACAGTGATTACAGTATTACAGTGATTACAGCATTACAGTGATTACAGCTCTAAAGAAGATGAAAATTTAACTTACTCTGCGACACAGTGTGCTGCTGTTACCACCCATGTCTCGGAGATAAGAGAACCACCACAGAGCATTATATCAGAATAACTGTTTACAAGGGCAATCTGTAAGACAACCAAGCAATTATAATAATATGTTTTAGTTAATGTTGTGTTATTGGAATTGTATAGTGTGCTACATAAAAGGCAGTGGTCGTAGCGCTGCGCATGTGCGACATTTGTGTTGATAAACATTGATTTTCCCACAATCCAATGCGCTCTTCTAATGGAAATCACAAATGCAAGATTTGACCTGGACGCGATTTGCATTAATTGCCGCCGGTGTCTTCTTTGATATCATCCATTCACCAAAAAATATCTAATTAAAGCTTGGTGACATCTCAGTTTGTACTCGTTGATCTGCGCAACAGTCAAAGTCACCATCTTTGTTTATATGAGACCTAGATATCTCACGCATGGAATTATTTAGTTATACCGACATTCGCAAAATTTCGTGTATATTCGTGAAACGTCTCTCGCCCCGGGAACCTATATTTCGCGGAAACATTGCAATCCATACATGGAAATAGTACGCGCATAATTTTTCTTAGCCTATTACGTGCTGAATTTAATGTCACGTGTCCGAATTATGAGGTCATCTTGTTATTCGTTTAGTTTTTTTAGTCTGAGTGTGTCTTGTAGTTTGGAGCGGTACGATAAAGACAGTTCTTTGGTGTTTTATTCCCGAATGGTGCGTGTATTTCCATTTATTTCGTCCCCGTTTACCATCCCTCGAAAGATGGAAGTTCACTGGTTGCATGTGGCCGTCCAAACGAGGTTTTCGTTAAGGTTGACCCGCTGTTGTCCGTTAGGGTCGACCCCCATCGACCATTGATAGGCGCGATCACCGTCAGTTTCTTACAGGGTGATATAAATTGTGAGCGATAGTCCACGAAATACTCAAATATTTCTCTTACAAAATAATAAATCATAGAGCTCAAATCGATACGTTAACTTCTGTATAACGTAATTCAATCACTATGGAAAGAGACATGTCTCGGTTTACGTTATAATACTGTGACCTACGTAAATGCGCCTTCGCACAGGATTACTGGTACGCACTACTAATTGTAGTATTAGTTACGTACTCATTATTTTTCTAAACAATTGAACTACATTTGAAATCACTGTCTTGCCCACAGATGTTGAGCAACACTCTGATAGAATTAATTCGCATGGGTTAATGTAGGAATACGTGTTACCGATAGCACAGAAACTCACCTGCCATGGCCATTCACCCACGTCTGCATCTTGGCCGCCGACTATCTTTGCATTTACGCTGTTTATCTGGGTTTTTTTGTACACCACAACCTGTCAATTCACTGTAGGGGTCTTCGATTGTAGGCGTGACTGTAGGGTTATCACTATGTGCTGTACCCGGAATATCTGTAACTAATTGCAGGATATATATGAACAAATTGAAATTGAAAACAATTAGAGAATTCTTCATTTTTCCATGCTCGACAATAATTCATATTCTCACTATGGCCACAGTGGAAAGTGGTGCTGCGCTTCGTGGGGAAAACTGGGTGATAGTGATTGGTAAGTGGGATTTTTGTGGGTGTGGTTGGTATTTAGTAAGCAGTGGGGGTAATTTGGGTGGGTTGGGTGCAACTATATGCAACTAGATTGTTAATGTGTTGCCAACTCATCTTTTATAATTAATGGAGTACACTATCAGAACACGATTCTGGCCAACATTTAGATCAATAGACTATTTCTGTGGTTTAGTATAATGATATTTTGAGCCAGCGATCATGCGCGTCTAGCTATGAAGACCAAGCGATCGTGTGCATCTTGCTACGAAGGTGCCTGTGGTCATGCGCTTCTCGCTGTGAAAGAGTCTGTGATCTTAAAAATATTGCAATAAAAAAACGGTTATCGTGCATGTGTTGGTATGAACGTGCATCTTGCAATGAACGTTGATGTGGTATATTAGTCTGTGAATAATCAAAATAAAACGCGCAATGTCAAACATGCAATATGGATGTCATTGGGAGAATGTAATTTTAAGTACTGCTCTTTGGAACAGTGCAAATGTCAATACGTATATTTCGTATTAGAGGTGACCCAATTGAAATCTGAGATAGAAGCTAGAGAAAATTGGTAAATAGCACACTTTGTTTTTCATTCCACATCAATTCCTTTACACAATAACACATATGTATTTTAGTCTATTTGCATCTTTGACTTACGAAATTGAACAAATAAATTGTAAACTTACAAGTGAAAATAACTATTGCTATGATAGCAATACTTATGCAGAAACCGATTATTGAAATAACCAAACAGGTCTTCGTGCCTGAGTTGACTATGTCTGGTTTATCTTTTCTTGTAGTAGTTGATGGATGTGCTTGGTGTTCAATAGTCCCATTTCGTACAACATCTGCCTGCAAACACATTATTCTTACTTAGATAGGTCCGGAGT